AACCAGATTCCCGTCGGAAACCTTCTTTATTTAGCTCTGATGCATTGGATACTGGACCGCCCTTGGACCCAAGCTACCCACCACTCTTTAGTGATGACATAGAGCCTGACATTCTAGAGGCCTCAACAAATAGCTTTGGTAAAGACTCTCAGAGTGGTGAGGCAGACATACAAACAGAGAGAGTGCTGGAAACAATGGAGGCTGCTCTTAATGATATTATTTCAGATTCTCCAAGCGCTGTAAAGGCAGATGGTACAAAAAGTGGCCGACCAACACCATCTCCCAGAGCCTCGCTTGACATGGGCCGCGCGGACGGTCATGCAGCTGAGAAAGGGAAGCCCAACATATCGTCATTGGGCCTTGTGAATACGTCCTCTCGAATTGGGGTATTTACAGATGATGATTTATTTCCAGATCAAGAAAAGTTCATTGAGGATGAATATGCTGATCCAGATATGCCGGAACACGATATACCTATAGAAGAAGAAATCCACGAGGCAGCGCCTGGAGACCTGGGTTTAACGGAGGCAATCTCCGCCTTGACGGCCGATATAGAGAAGCTCGTTTCACAGGAGGCTGTGATTGACTCGTTAACGAGGAAAGCTGAGTTGACAAATAATGTGGCTGAACTGCGTATTCTGGGAAAATCTAAATCTAGTCTACGAAGAGAAATTCGACGTAAAGAGATGCAGAGGCAGCAGTACATTGTACAAGAGAGTGATAATAGCTTATACGGGCGCTCGACGGTGCAGATACCCTCAATTATACTTGGTAAGGAGTCGGATGGCCGCGAGTATGCTTTGTGTAAGTCTATGCTGATTGCAGATATTCCAATGATTCCCGTTTTCTAACTTGTAACTCCTACTAGACGTGATTGAGGTGAAACGGAAGGCAGGTGAACAGATACCAGTTGCCTCATGGGCTGTTCCACGAAGATACAGCGAGTTCCACGAACTACATCAACGCCTCCGAGCAAGATACCCTTCGGTAAGGGGCCTTGAGTTTCCACGACGGCATATGGTTATGAAGCTTCACAAAGATGTACTTCATAAGCGTCGACTTGCGCTGGAGTCATACCTGAAACAGATATTCCTTCTACCCGATGTGTGCGGTAGCCGTGATCTCCGCTCATTTTTGTCTCAACGAGCAATTGGACCAACCCGAGAAGAGACAGGTGAAGGAGAAACTAGAGATATAGTCACTCGCCTTTATAACTCAGTAGCTGACGGCATGGACGATTTTCTCGGAAACATCGCTGTGCTGGACCAGCTTTCTACCGCTGGGCAGAACCTCATATCTGCTGCAACGAGCCAGCTAAGCGCCTCTCAGGCCGCAGGACTAGGACCGGAAGAGGCGGCCACGGCAGCGGAGGCAGAAGCAGAGCTGAATGCATTTGAAGACCGAGAATTGGAGCCCTTTATCAAGCCAATCTGCGATATCTTTTTGGAAATATTTGAGCTGACGAGAGGCAACAACTGGCTTCGTGGGAGAGCCGCGGTTGTTGTGCTGCACCAATTACTAGGAGGGACGATTGAGCGTAAAGTACGGGAGAATGTCAAGTCCTTACTTCAAGATGCCTCCTTGCTGCATTATATCGGACTTATAAAGGATACCATGTGGCCTGGTGGGAAGCTTCGTGAAACCAAGGTTCGAACAGGGTCAGAGAAGATGAAGAGCCGTACAGAAGCGAGTGTAATGCTGGCTACTCTAATACCAGAACTTGCAGCAGGTGTTGTTGGGCGTGCAAATGCACAGGCTGCCGCGAGACGAATATTTTCTACATTAAATAACCCACGACTGAATTTGCATCTTGTTTATACCATTCTCGATGAGATTCTCCTTATTTTAGCCAATGGGAGATGAATGCATGTATTCTACTTTATACCTCTTATACTCCACCGCTTGCCGTAGGTGGACGGATATTGGAGGAATGAATAATGATAATATGATAATTTAATGGTACTACCAGCAACCGAAAAATGACGGAGGAAGCACGATAATGAAGATGATTTGAAATTAATTCGATACCATGACTTGACGCCCCTTGAGACAAAGAGTATCTAATGCCAGTTTGCTAGCCATACAGAAATACGACCAATGAATCATGAATAATGACAAGTGATGAAGGAAAGCAAGCCTACTCAGCAGCAGCGCCCTTCTTTTTGCTCTTCTTAGGTGGCGGTGCGCCCTCCTTCTTCTGATGTACAATGAGTCTTGTCCACGACTCCTCTTTATCCCACTCGAATCCAGCTAGGATGGGGTTATCGAGCTCATCATCAGCCTATATTGGACATTAGCAACCGCATACTACATAGCTACTTTCCCCCTTAAGCTGGGATTACTCAATTCTGTGAATTTACCTTCTTTTTGAATTGCTTGTAGATAGCATCAAGAGAGTCCTTGATGGTTACACCCTTGAGGTTTCGAGCGGTGACCTCGAGGCCAAGAGGGAATTGCAGATCAATCCTTTTGACTGGTGGAGTGGTGAGGAACTTCTTCAGGACTTCCTTGTCCTCTAGGGAGGCTGGGGAAGTGTTGAGCTTCCTGCAGGTATGGTGAGCACTAAGCCAAAGGCGAAGACAAGGTCTACTTACCAGTTGAGCTTCTGTGTCTCTGGGGCTATTTGCAGCTCGATTCCTAGTCCTTCTACAGAGTTGCAAGAAAGAAAAAAAAGAAAACAATGAGCCACTTCCGAATGGATATAGGAACAATAGGTGGACATGTAACACATACCTAGGTCTTTAATGTTCATAACGTCTGGGTTCTTGTTTGTGGACTCCTTCTTCGATGTCTTCTTGGCTTCTGCTGGTGAAGGGAGGCCGGCGATGGCAGAGTCGACTTTGGTGAGAGTGGCCATGATGGATCGAGACGGGAGTGAGGAGTTGAGCTAGCGCGGGTAGACTCTACTTGGGTCGTGTTAGCTGATGGACAATACAGCATCTATAGAGTGACTAGCTGGCAGCACCTTGAAGAGACGCAGTGGTTGATGGGAGATGGTTGGGTGTGAGTATGTGCGTTAAGGCGAGAAGAAGAAGAATGAAGAAGAAAGGGGGAGAAAGCGGGGTATATAAAGAGCAAGCAAGCATAACGCAACCGGCTGTCCGAAAGGGGAAAGGGAGGAGGTCGGTACTCTGGCGTGACTTCGCGTTACCGCCAAAGGTTGCAGATACTGCAAAGTATCGTCCAGGTACCGCCCAGGTATTCCCTTCACCCTTACATAGTAGTTGTCTTGGGGGGAAGCTGGCGCCGCCAACTTCTGCCCATGTCCTCAGTCACCTGAGCTGGCGTCACACCATCCGGAGCTTATACTTGCTTGCTTGCGTTTTGCCGGGAGACTCGGCCACTCTCCTGCATTACTTCCCGTGTGTGTCTCAGTGACTAGTTTACCCCTTAGCTGCATACTCGTATCCCTGTCTACTCCCTTCTCTCTCTCACTCTCCCTCTCTCTCTCTCTCTCTACATCTGCATGGCCTGATCTGTGGCATGATGCTTACGCTCGCTTTTGTGCTATAGCTGTCGTATGTTATGATGCTATAATGGAGCATGGATGCGGCTTACGTAAGTAGCGGCATGCACCCCGCATCCAGCTTGTCCTGAAGTGGAAATTCGGCGGGCGACCCGGTGGAGAGCTCCACCATTTGTCCGTTTTAAGTTATCACGTGAAATATGACTAACTACTTATATAAGAATGTATATCACGTGATATATCTTAGTCAGCGGGCTTAGGCAAAAGCTATTTCGCTTTTTCCTTCTTCAGAGCCGCTTTTTTTTTTTGATGACATACATACGGTTGAACGCGCCGCGGTGAGACAGAAACAACTCTCGCTCTGTCTTATCATCACGATATAGATAATCTACCTTGTGTTGACCTTATCCATTTGCGTGATTCGTCGAGTCTGTTCGCTCAGCTATCCCAGATACGATGACAGGCCTGTTCGGCAACATCTCTTCCAACACAACCTCAGCTACCTCCACCACGACTGGTGATATCTCAAAAGATGTAGCTCTTGTTTCGCCACCAGAGGATAGTATCTCAGATCTCGCCTTTTCCTCGCAGAGTGATCACCTTGCCGTTGCATCATGGGACAAGAAAGTGCGCATCTACGAGATCAATGACCAGGGGATGAGTGAAGGAAAGGCCATGTTTGAACACCAGGCTCCCGTTCTCAATTGCTGCTGGTCTCCGGTATGCTCGAATAAAACTCAGCTATATATAAGAAATGTACATACTGACCGCTCTCACTAGGATGGCTCAAAAGTAGTTGGTGTCGGAGTAGATAAAGCAGCCCGTATGCTTGACCTTCAGGGTAATCCTACCACTCCTGTCCAAGTTGCCGCTCATGATGCTCCGATTCGAAGCTGCTGCATGATTCAAAACCCGGGAAACTCGGCCCAGCCACTTCTTGTCACTGGATCGTGGGATAAGACGGTCAAGTACTGGGATCTCAGGCAGTCATCCCCAATTGGGACCCTTCAGTGCCAGGAAAGAGTCTACTCCATGGATGTCAGCAAAACCCTTCTAGTCGTTGCCACTGCTGACAGATACATCAACATCATCGACCTCAATCAACCTACAAACATTTACAAAGTCATGCAGTCTCCGCTCAAATGGCAGACAAGGGTCGTGAGCTGTTTCACCGACGGTACTGGATTCGCAATAGGCAGCATTGAAGGCCGTTGCGCCATCCAATACGTTGAAGAGAAAGATTCGAGTTCAAATTTCAGTTTCAAGTGCCACCGTGAAACACCACAAGGCCAATCTAATGTCAGCAACGTTTACTCGGTCAACTCGATTGCCTTCCACCCCCAACATGGCACATTCAGTACCGCCGGGAGCGATGGTACCTTCCATTTCTGGGATAAAGATGCGAAGCACCGGTTAAAGGGTTACCCATCCGTCGGAGGAACCATATCCACCTCAACATTCAACAGAAATGGTAATATTTTTGCCTACGCCGTCAGCTATGACTGGAGCAAAGGATATACTGGAAACACCCCACAAACACAAAATAAAGTCATGATGCACCCAGTAACACCGGAGGAAGTGAAACCAAGGGCGACATCGACAAATGCGCGAAGGAACAGATAATTTAATCCTAGTCCACATTCTTCGTCCCTTCGTCTCTCCGTTCTCCCTCTTCAACTGAGGTATCCGTTGAAGCGCAAACATCAGCTCCATAATCCCCACGATAACCACAATCACTACTTTGGTAAGACTGAGCGTACCACAAGAAGGATTAATGAGGCATATAGTGTTTATTTTATTTTTCTACACCCACTGGCGTGAAGCGGGTATATAAAAGAACAATATTGTATGGCAGGCTTGGAGAGCGAGGAATATATCAATCGGCGTTACTAGGTTTCTTGACTTTGAATTAGAATAATGCCTCGAATCCATCAACCGCCTTGTCATTAACACAGAACCTTACTACTCTTCGAATAAGGAAACAAATTCTAACAGACCAGTGGTATGCGTTTTACGGCTAGACTTGCTGGTAAGATAGCGTCTAAAACATAAAAACATATTTTTAGCAACCTAGGAGCTGGGTAGAGTAACTTGGGAGACACCATCCGTAACCTCCTCTACTGCCTTACCACCAGTCTGAACGACTGTTTCTACTCCAGCCTTGGTCGATGCCTCAACAGGGGCATCACCTTCACCCGAAACTTCGTTAGCTTTGGCCTTTTGCTGCTTTTTCTTAGACTTTGCAGCCTTTTTGGCCGCTTGCTTTGCCTTCTCTTCGTCTTTTTTTTGTCGCTCAGCCTGGGATCCACCAAACATCTCTCTCCACTCGTCGGCCTTTTTGACATCAATGTTACTGAAAAGATACTTCGCTTTACCAACACGGTGACCAGGCTTAATGATTGTAGGCTTCCATCCATCTTTAATTTCATCAAGGCTTGGTATAAGACTGGCTGGAGCATCCAATTGTTCAAGGATAGAAACACAGGTGGCAGGGAGATAGGGACAGAAGATACTCGAGCATAGATGAATCAAATTCACCACAATACCAACCACTGTTGCGGCGCGTTCGGGTTCATTTGCAATCAGTGAATTGTCGAGCTTGTTAGCTTGAATTAGACCGTTTCCAGCTTCAGCGATCTTCATAGCGGTAAGGATGCCGGCGCGCAAATGGACCCCTTCCATTTCATTGATATATTGGCGAAGAAGGCTAGTTACTTCCTCTAATGCCGGGTAAAACGGCTCCGTGACGGTGAATTCAGGGATAACTGAGTTATATGCCTTTGGGCTAGCAACCAGCTTGATTACCCGGTTTACTAGGTTACCAAGCTTAGCTAGTAGCTCTCCGTTATTGCTATCGATGAAGGATTTCCATTCGAACTGAGTGTCACCAGACTCCGGGCGGTTCTTCAGCAGGTAGTATCTCCAAACATCAGATGAGACGCCTGTTTCTTTTGCATTGTTCCCAAACACACCAATCCCGCGGGATTTGCTGAATTTGCCGCCTTCATAATTGAGGTACTCAGTTGTGCTCAAGTGGTGTAACATCGTCCACTTATCCTTAGTGCCCAGCTGGCAGCCAGGGAATATAACTGCATGGAAAGGCACGTTGTCCTTTCCGAGGAACTGATATAATTGGACATCCTCAGGGTTCCTCCACCATTTCTCCCACTCAGGGGTATAGTTGGCAGTAATAGAAGGGTATCCAATGCAGGCCTCGAACCAAACGTAAAGAACTTTCTTCTCATATCCATCTAACGGCACAGGGACACCCCATTTCAAATCTCGGGTAATCCCGCGAGGCTGGAGGCCTTCCTTCAACCATGACCCAGTAATAACGCGACTGTTCTTCGGCCAATCTCCCTTTTCAAATGCAGAACTTGCCCAACTATCAATTTGAGGTTGTAGCTTGTCCAAGAGAAGAAAAATGTGTCTTGTTTGTCGACGAACTGGAGTTGCACCGTCTACCTTACAGCGTGGGTTTATTAAGTCAAAGGGATCAAGAAGGTGCTGGCACTTATCGCATTGGTCCCCTCTAGCATCATCGTAATGACAGCGTGGGCATTCGCCTTCAACAAACCGGTCGGCAAGAAAAGAGTCATGCTTCTCACAAAAGGGCTGTTCAGTGGTCTTTTCCTCTAAATAACCGTTTTCGTAAAGTCTTTTAAAAATGCCCTGGGATATCTCGGTATGAGGTTTTGTTGGAGTGCGGCCAAATATATCGAATCCTATATTAAACCACTTGTAGACTTCCTGGTGTATCCTATTATACTTTTCGCAAAGTTCCTCGGGAGTCACGCCCTCTTCCAAAGCCTTCGTTTCAGTCGCAGTTCCGTACTCATCCGTCCCACAAACATAGAGCGTTGGTCTGCCGCATGCTTTGTTATACCTATTTCCCCCCATTAGTGACGGCTAAAAGGTCTCAACGCCCGAATTGACTGACCTTGCGAAGACATCAGCGCTCAATACCGAACCGACAATATTGCCCAGATGGGGGACGTTGTTTACGTATGGTAAAGCACTTGTGATGAGGATGTTCCTCTGGCCCTGTTGGGGCAAAATCTTCGACTCTGAATCCATGGCCGAGTTGGAAGGAGGTGGGATTGACGTGGTGGGGGTTTGTTTGAGAAATTGTCAATGAGGCTCAGCAAAAATAACTTATCAAAAATGGCGCTTGTGACTAATAACTAAGTTAAGTAAGTCAACTAGTTAACTAACAGTTATTATAACTAACTACTCAAACCAGTTTAAATCAATGACACCTTTTCGAGCTGTATCAGACGGCCTACGAATTCATGATTCTTAAAAATGAATCAAGGCCATTTTCTCAATGATATCCTTGGGCTCGAAGATGAGTTTTATGCTGAGGGCCACACACTAGGAACACTCGACGGAACAAGGGCGGGATTCAACGAAGGCAGTGTTTTTGCCATCGAAAATGGCTTCGAAAAATTCCAGACGATAGGAAGACTCTATGGGAAAGGGATAATATGGGCCAAACGTTTGCCAAACCGGCAGGAAATGCTGCGAAGCACCCCTCAGCTAGCTCACAAAAGTAACGACGAAGTTCAGCATGCTAAGTCCAATACCACTCTGTCAGTGGCACCAGACATAAAACCTATCCCAGCACAAGACCTGCCCAGCCTACCCTGTAACCCGCGGCTGGAGAAACACATTGCAGTCTATTTATCTCTGGTGAACCCTCTCACATTATCTATGGAGAACAAGGAAGAAGCTGTTGCCGACTTTGACGATCGATTAAAAAAGGCCGTTGCAAAAGCGAGGGTCATCGAGAAGATGGCCGGAGAACCAAGCGAGCATACTTCTCAGAGCTCCCGCGGGGCTAGCAATATCGAAGACATCGGATCTCTACCAATAGATCTCCCCGGAAACCAAAAGCCACGAAATTCTACACCTGTGATTGAGTTTTGATCCGCCATGGCAGTGGCCAGTTAATGCCATTCGCTGCACGTTTACATTCAACTGAAAGCCTGACAACTGAGCACTACCCCCTTCTATCGTTCATACCACACTTGCCCAAGTATGCTATGAACCATGACTTGCAAAGTATATAGCTAGAATATAGTGCGCTTATACCTAACTCCTAAGGTATAATAGCTGCTAGAATATATATTTCTATATCAATGCGCGCATCCAGCCCTAGACTTATATAATTGAGACTCTAACGTGACTCACTACTAAATATCTACCACCACTAAATATCTATCTAATCTTAACGCTCAACTCGTTCGATTAAGCTATAAATACTAATATATCTTAATATAATATAAGTAATAAAGTAAATAAATTATTAAAAAATAATAGTAGAGTTTTAAATTAAATAGAAAATAGTATAGTTAAGAAAATAAATAAGTATTAGACTTAATATTTAACAGTTATATAGAGGGGGAAAAGGTTTGATTATAATCTATATTACTATAAGAGTTATACTAAGCTACTAAATATCTAGTATAGTTAAATTTACCTTATTATATATTTTTCTTTCCTTCTTCTCCTCTTCTTTATATAGTATTATATAGCCTTTCTATAATCTAGTAATAGCTATATATAGTTTAATTTATAACTTTTATTTTACCTCTATTTTAGTACTATAATAGCCTACAAACTATTCAATTCACGGAATTAAACCACAACGGTGAGTTAATAGCAAAATGTCCCAATACGCATACGCTAATGTTTGGTATAAAGACAACAGTAAAGGTCAAAATATAACTCCCCCAATGGTTCACTTCGACTGGGAAAGAGAAAGACTAAGAGAAAATGAGCAGTACGCGTTTGACTGGTCTTTAGATGACTCTCCTGTCTACCATTAACATGTACCACTTCGGAGTGAGATAAACACCCCTTTCCACACGTATAGAGGTCCACGGCCTTAGCATTTGTCCTTTACTGCCCTTTATCTCCGATATACTTGCATCCGACGCAGCGTCAATACAAAGTGGGATAGCATCGTATAGGTAGTCGTTACATAGGAAACGAACGGGTTTTATAATTCGCCATATGTGAATTCGTTTTAGGGGGGTTAGTTCCTTAAAAAGGTCAGCGATACGTGTAGAAAAGGGATAATATATTTACTAGTTTCTCAAAGAGTGCCACAACGTGCTCTTTTATAGGTGTATTACTTTCGGCGGATAAATCTTCCTCAGTGCATTTATCAAATCCGTCGCTTGTTGTAGGTTGAAATTTTGCACTTCCGATAAGGTACTCCTCTAACCGCTTACACTCTGCCTCAATTTGAGGCAGATCAGTTTCAGCAAGATATGTAGGCATTGCGAGAAGTAATTTCAAAAATCTCTAGACATATTTTTTTCCTGGGAGAGAGAATAGACGTGGTAGTAATAGATTCCTCGTGAGTGATTTTTACCCCTAGCCGATGAGGGGTCGAGATAAAGTAACGTATTTCACCACTCGTTGGCCTGCACCACTTGATGGCCATCCACCAAAATAACACATAACTCATTCTACCTGCCTATTTCGATCGAAATACTCAACAGCAACGTAGATAATAAAGTAAATTAGATATTAAAAACGATAGTAGAGTTCTAGTATATATATAAATTAGTTAGATTAGGAAAATAAATAAATATTAGGCTTAGTTACTCGCTCTAAGCAACTAGTATAGCTATAGAATAAGAATAATAGTATAGAAGGAATAGGGTTAATAAAAGTAGCTTTTATAGATAAGGCCTTCTTCTAGACATGAGGATGTGCGGGTTGGGTCAAACCCACGCCTTTTTAGAACTGCTCACCGTGGGCGTGGGTTTCCCCGCACCCAAACTTTTGGGTCCCGTTAAAAATGGGTTTTACCCACGGGCCCTACGGGTCTCTAATAAAGCTAATTAATAAGCGGAAAAGCTATTTTCCGGTAGATTATTACCTAATTAGGAAGGTAGATTTAAAGTTTAGCCTTAGTAAGCGTTTTTTCCTTATCTATTTTGAATTTTTAAAAAATCCCCAAGATATATATATCAAAAGTGTTGGTACTAGGCTACTATTTAGGCCTAAAAGAAGCTATAAAAAATATAAAAAAAATACTTATTAGACTTTTTCTATATTTAGAATTAACGTAGGGCCTATAGGTGACCCAAAAACTATTTTAATTAGGCCTACCCACCTATTTTTTACCCAAGGCTTTTTAGGGGTACTCAGATTTGACCCAAGCCAACCCGCCCAAATACCGGTGGGTTCGGCGTTGCACATTCTCATGTCTATAGATAATATACTCTTAATATTAAGCTTAAAAAATAGGATAAAATTACTTAAGCGGAAGAAATAAATCTATAGCGAGCTATTTAGAAGAATATTAAAGCTTAGAAAGCTATAGAAAGGAAGGTAGACAATAGACATGAGGATGTGCAGTACGGAAAGAAAGAAGCAACGAATGGTCGAACACAGCCAATTTCTGGTCGATTGAGGCCAAAAGCGACTCAAATTGAAGCTCTTATTAAGCTTATTCTGACTACCAACTTTCAGAATCAAATACCAACTAATAGTAGAGAAATATCGCAAACAAAAAGCGAATCCTGCTGAAAAACTCTGCATCTAACTTTTGATTTTCCTTACCAAGACTTACTATAGCGGAATATAGAGTTTTTGTAGTACCATTATTTTCTATATAAACACTATAGTGAACTCCGAAAATGCCTAATATAGTACCGATACTAATCGACTATAATAGCGATAAAGTAGCTACTATAGATACTATAGATATACTATATTAAGAAAGGAAATATTTTTTTTTTATTTTTATAACTCTTAAACTACTATAACTATCTATTAAACTATAATAATCGCTAGTCTATTCTATTATTTCGTTTCGTTTCGCTCTATTTTACTTAGTATTATAGTATACTCTCTCTATTTACTTGTAGCTATCTTATATCTAGAGGTCCTTCTCCTCCTCTATAGGGACGCCGTATACTTTAATAAACTTAGGAGAGTAGAGTTCTTAGTTAATATCTCCTTTAGGTTCCGCGTAACTATAATATACGGGCGAAGAAGAGCTATTAATATCTTATTTAGCCTAAGTAGAATAATAGTTAATACTAGTTAATTTAATAGAAGTATCTTTCTTAATAGAGTTCTAGATAGAAATAGTATAAACTTTAGCCCTAATTTCCGTAGTAGAAGTATACTATTTAAGAGGCTATTAAGGAGTAATACTATAATTTTTAGTACTAACTTCCTTAACCTAAGCTTACTACTTATTAGGCTAAGGAGTTATAGAGGCGCAATTCTTAATACGAGGCTAATACTTAGAGGTATACTACTTAATTAATTAAATAATTAAAGGGGTATACTAAACTATCTAAGTTTACTAGGGAGAAATATATTACTAACTTAAAGATAGTTAATATTTAGTATATATCGGATACGTCGGTATATATAGTACTATAATATAAGAAGGCCAAGTTAGGGTCTAAGTTACTTAAACGTATACTCCCCTATAGTCTAGTAAAATCTCTATTAGTCGATATCTACTTATAGGCGTTGGGGATTTAGTAAAGATATTAGATAATCCCTTAGCCTTTTTAGAAGTAATATATCTAGAGTTAGAGGTACTATCGACTATAGAGATATCTCGCTTCTAAATATAGAGTTAGTTTCTTCCTTATATAATACTATATCCTTAATATTATTAGGGAGAAGGATATACCTAAATACTTTAAGTTATATTTCCTTAAAGTACCTTAATAATTTAACTAATACTATACTAAATATTTTTATTAATAGTACGGATTTTCTTTATAATAGTCTTTATTATCTCGTTTAATTTCTATATACCTATAGTTAGTATAGTTCTTATATTCGAAAGAATTAAAATAATTTCTTACCTATTACTCCTAAACTATATTCTCCTATACTATTACTATAGATTAAATCTCTATAGCTATAATATCTTATATCTCTACTATAGATTTAGTAGCCTTCGAAATTATTTTAAGGATTTTATCTCGAGAGATATTACTAGGATAAGTAATTATAATACTACTTATCTTTAATATCTCGGGGACTTCGCTTAGAGGAGTCTTATCTATATTTATTTCCTACTCCTCGAACTTCTTTTTAAGTATCTTCGCTTCCTTAAGTAGCGACGCCTTATTCTTAATATAGATCTTAATACTCTTTATTTCGAGGTACTAGTTATATATCTCTATTAATATAGTTATATTATCCCTTAACTCTTCTAGGAAATACTTATACCCCTTTTTATTATTAGTATAGTTATTATATAACTTATTATCTAACTATATTTTATTATATTTCTTATCTAGCTTGTACGGAAAGATATAATTAAGAATATAATATTAATATATAGTTCGTTTATTATCTATATACTACTCCCTAAGGAATTTAACTTTATCCCTACTAGCTTTCTTAGGAGACCTCGTAGTAGCCTTACTTTTATAAGGCGCTATCTTAAATCTATCTTCTAGTTAGTATCTCTTATATTTCTAATATAAAAACTATATACCCCTTTCTTATTAAGGCTTGCGATATATTTATACTTACTAGAGAATAATACTTCTTATATTCGACTCGATATATTAAGGTCTAATAGAGTTATTAAGAAGTAGAAGTATATAAGGGATACGAAATAAAAAAAATAATAAAGACGAGAAAAAATCTACTTCCCCTAGGTAACTATCCTAATTAGGTAATATATAATATTAAAATAATAAAGTAAGTAGGTAATAATATATAATAACTCCCGATATTTATAATATTAATATTTATATATTTTATAACTCTATCTATATCTATATCTATACTAATAATAAATAAGTAATACTAGCTTATAAACCCCTATAATACCTATATAAAGAAATATATATTTCCAAGTAATATAAAGACTATGCCTTAACTAGATATAATAGTATACTAATAGTATACTAATAGAGTAAGACGCCCCCTTAACTTAAATATAGAAGTATATATTTTAGAGATTTTCTTATAGCTTAATTAAATTAGGCTTATTACTTGTACTTAAAAAGTACTAGCTTTTTTCCTTAGGATTTTTCTTAAAAAAAATAAGGGTCTAGTACTCCCCCCCTCTCCTCGCTACGTCTTAGAATATATATCTATTTAAGAAACCCCTAAGTTAGACTCTAGAAGTCTAAGGTAGAGGTAACTTAATAGAATATAATCTAAAGGTTTTTTAAATAGATTTCTCTATAAAAAACCTTCTAGTTTAGTAGTTCTCTTTAAAAACTACTACTAGAATATACTTCTCTAGGAAAGAAAGCTATATACTCTATTTCCTTAAGAGATATATCTAGTTAAACCCCCCTATTATCTAATATTTCTCTATCTCGAAGTTCTAGGTAAACTTTCTTCTTAAGGGAAGATTAAAACCTTTCTAATACCTAATCTAGGCTACTTAAGCTAGTATTAGAAGAAAGGCTACTAAGGAATAGCGTAGTAGCCTTTAAAGAAGGATAAGGGATAAGCCCCCTTAACCCCTAAAGAATAAAACTAAAATCCTTTTTAGGTACTTAGTACCCCTAATCGAAGCTAAACTCCTAAAGCTATAAATCCTAAGGAAAAGGAAAAGATCTATAAAGGTCTAAGGAAGAGAACTCTAGAAAACTCCCCTATTAAAGTAAGAAATTAGGAAAAGGTATATAAGACTAGCTAACCTCTTTTTCTTAATAGAGTAGAAGGTCTATTAATAAATACTACCTATAATCTAGATACTATTCTAAAACTTCTAGAGTTAGAAATAGGAGTAGAGAAAGACCTAATAGCTCTAAAAATACTAGAGAACTAAAAAGGCTAAATTTAATAGCTTATTAAATATAAGTAAAAGAAG